TCACTTGAATAAAAGCAAGTAAGAAAATTTAACAAAAGACACATTCCTATCAACCTGTTTTATTCAATGGCTTTATCCTGTTTCTAATCTTAACAGCTCAAATTTGGCCGGCATGCTTTGCAATTTTTACGAAAGGTGAAATGACCTGAATTTTGTATTTTCCCATGGTACGATAATAGGCCGCTACCGAGAAAAGTCGCAAAGCATGCCGGTTGCACAAGACCCTTAAAACTCTCTATAGTAAAGTACTAGGAACTATGTTTTTGATATAAACCTCAGAGGTAGAAGATAACGAGGTGAATCTGATAAAAAAACTAAAGAATGATATCACTTCCGTTACCCTCTAAAAGGTTTTCAGAAAGGTCACCATTACGGGAATATGCTCCAAATTGTGAGCATGAGGTTTCACAAAGTCTAGAATTGCAAATTTTTCTTAAAATCTCCCAAAACAATCGACCAAACAACAGCACGAGCAGCAGGGAGTTGAGGGAGACTAGCATAACGCCAAGTCCCCACTTGTCTTTGCTTTGCTCGAGAATTTCGTCATCACCAATCGCACTATTTTGTGTTACACCATAGCACAGATTCACCGCTACAATCACTAGAGCCAGTAACTGCATCAAGTTGTCAAACTTGTCTTTCATTGGCCACATCCGAGCATGAGCAACAGCGAACAAAATGCTTAAGATTATAAGCCCAAACAACCCTATCTTTATGTTGTGCAGGACCAGAGCACTTGCAATGCTGATGATCAGTTTTCGAGCCATTTCAGTCACCTCCCAGTACCAGCTTTCCGGCTTGTAGTTGCCGTAGAAGAGTCTAAGCGCCACGGCTACAACAGACTCCTCCGCAGCTGCCTCCTCGCCATCATCGTTAATTGACCCGGCGGGCTGCTGTCGCTGCGCATCATCAGTGTTCTTTTTGGGAGCTAACCGCCAGAGCAGAAAAAGCAGCAGCAAAGGAAAGCCGAAGGGCAAAATTAAGGCTTCGTTTGCAGCTTTGGTTACAATGACGTCATCACTCGTGCCTGATGTACAGCTAACACGGTAATCCGATCGCAGGTACGAGACTCTGTGCAAGCACTGCCCGTCCTTTTCCGATGTACAGAATGCATGGCAGCTGGCGGGTTGGATTTGGAATATCTTGCTTGATGTCAAGGGGTAGGTCGCGAAAAGAAACAGAAATATGGCCTCGAGGCATTGCTGAACGTTCTTCCTAAGCCTCGTTCTGAACTCCACTGTATCCCTAACACAGCAGTAAGAGCAAAGTGATTTGATTGTTGTGTAAATACAAATTATGAAGGGAACAGTCGCGGTGGCAATGATGGCAAACCAGAATTCCTTGATGGCGTCCATGCGCCATTCTCGCTTTATGCAATGCAAAGCAGGTATATGGAAGATCGAGAACTGAATAAATTCAAAAACTCTGACAGCTTTTGTAAGATTTCCAGGCCAATGAATGTTTGGAAGAGCGTGTATGATGCCAACTAGCACTTGATAAAAACCAATGAGGATTTTCAATGTTGACAGAATTAAATCAGCAAATGTTTTGCTATCGTTTCCTGCGAGTTTCACTTTATCAACTTTGGACATTAACCAGCAAATAAAAACAAACGCCAAAAAGAATGCAACACACTGCACCACTGCAACGACTGAAGAGGGACATTTAGTGAATTTACCAAAGTTTTTCATGTATCCCCCCTGACAAACTGCACACAATATTCCAGTGTAGCCTTGCTTACAATCAGCCTCTATGCCACCAAGGCAGGAGCCTTGTAGCGGGCATTTGTGTGCAGTGGGCATGTGACAATCGTACTTGATTGTAGCCCGGTCATATGTATCGTTCTTTGTATCCAGATTCTGCATAAAAGCCTTGTACAACGTCTTGCAAGATGTATTTGATGCAGATTGCATTGTTTGCCACGACATCCAATAGCCTCTAGTCAATTCCTTGTAATCTGTTTGACATGAAAACCCTTCTTGGGTACATTTTGTGCATCCTTGAAACCGATGACTTCTTGCAAAACCAGGCAAACATTTACACGCGCGATAAGCTGCGGAGCTGTTTGTATTTGTCCCAAAAGGGCATGTGAGACATTGCAATGGACTTTTCCCTGGTGCTTTATCTAGTGGCACAAACTGGCCTAATGGACAGGGCTTGCATGCAATGGCTGCCATTTCGTCCTGATAGAAAGCCCCAGCAGGGCAAGCAATACAGCCATCATTGCCGTAGTAGCCAACCTGACATGGCTTGCAGTCAAAGTGGTATCTCACCTTCAAGTTTTCAAAACATTGAAAGCCATCACCTTCAAGCGCTGTTGTTGCTGTTTTTATGACCAGCTTTCGAGTTGGGCTGCAAATCACTTTTGGATTAATATCAAAATGGTTTGGAACTTCGTCGAGACTGTTACATGATATGTAAATCTGCGAACCGTTCGGCATCTTCTGAAAGTCTGAGCTTCTAATAGACTTCAATTTATTTCCAAACAATAAAAGTTGGTAAGGGGGTGTTTTCACACCCTGAAAGATGCCATCGACGGTGCTTAATTCGTTGGCAAACAACGACAATTTTTTTATAGATAGGCCATTAAAAATGCCTTTTTGTAGGTTCTTGAGTTGATTTCGATGAAGAAACAGGTCTCCGATGTATTCAATACCTTCAAACGCATTAATTGCAATACTCTTAATGTTATTACTTTGCAGGTAAATTGCAAATACGTTACTCAGCTTCGGAAAGGTATTTTTCTCAATCATTTTAAGCTTGTTGTGAGACAAATCTAATGTGAGAACAAGGATTTTCGAGAAATTGTAGGATTCAATGAGGTTAAATGACAGATCCAAAGATGAAATTGATCGAACATTTAAATTCCTTGCCATTTTGAGCAAGTTGTTTTTCAAGTGTAAGTCGACAAGGCTTCTAATTCCAGTAAGATCCGGTAATGCCTTCAAACGATTATCGTTTATTTCAATTCTTCCTAGGTTTCTATTGTGTTGAAATGTTTTAGCTGGCAAATAAGTGAGTTTGTTTGTATTTATTTCTAGGACTCGGAGATCCTTGAGCTGATCAAACGCCCCCTTGGCAATGCTTTGCAAACCTGTGTGTGACAGAATAAGGGACCGGAGTTTCTTCAATGTATTCAAATCACTCCTACCAATCTTTTGCAGAACATTTCCGTCAAGGTTTAAGTTTGTGACGGATCTAGGAAAGATTGAAAACTGTCCATCTAAAATAATGTTGTTGCTTCTAAGTGCAATCTCCTTAAGATTGGGCGTTCTTTCCTCCTTGAAAAGTTCCTCCACTGCTTCAACATTTAACTGGTTCCCCGACATGTCAATAATTCGGAGGCTCTTTGGAAGAATAAATGTATCCTTAATAGAACATTCTCGTAAGACGAGCTTTTCTAGCTGCGTAAATCGAGCAAAAGAATTGTTTTGGAACTTTATTAATGGATTTTCAGAAAGATCAAGATAGCGAATGGATGATGGAATCTCTGATGGTAGTGTCTTTAGGCCAGCACCAATACACTGGACAGTAATTTGAGAACACTTGCAACGTTTTGGGCACTGATATCCCAATGTGCCAAGCAGGGGCGGATCTAGAAATTATTCTGACTGTCGCACACAAGGGTGTGGTCGGAAATATCATTCTTGACCACACCCATAGTTTTTAAGGATATTCGCCCCCTTCTCATTTGAGCAATCGACACGCACATTAAATTGGCTTTATTTAGAACGTTGTCAAACTGTTGTTTATTCCTTATCTGAGTTTTCAATTGATACTACAGAATCATTTGTGTTGTTTTTTAGCCAAGCGTAAAGCAAGAAACAACTTGAAATTCTTAAACGTATTGACACGGTTTTCCTTTCATAATCAGGCAAACATTCGAGTCGTCTCTCTCGATTTGTTTATGGTATACGATGACAAACCAGGCCACGCAAAAAATGAAAAATATCATTACAATGAATTTTCATAACTAACAAAATAGAACAAATGTACACAAATATTCACAAAAACCTGCACTTTTTAATAACTAATATTGTTTAATAGCTAAACCAAATCAGCGTGTAAACATGTATTTTACTCCGAAGAAACCCCTTCGAATTCAGGGGAATACCCAAGCAAGTAAACTTTACCCGGAAATATCTGAAAGCTGATAAAGAACTGAGAATCCACATTGAAAAGGTTCACTTTGAAAGTTTTGTCCAAATAAAAATTTTTCACTCTGCGAACGTCCTGAATATTATTTATTCGCCAGAGCCAAATCGCAGGTATCACCCCAGTCCAGTGCATTTATTGAAATTTGTAGGCCCTTGATCCATGGAGGAGGTAATGAATGTGGAAACTTGAAAACATCCCGTGTCGAATGTTACTCTGAAAATCTAGCGACCTTTGTCTTCCAAATTACCAGGTTTAACGTACTCGTTATACATGTAGCCAGTCGACTCCATAACACAAAATTCCTATTCCCCAGTGAAGAAATTCCCATGCCAGGCATAAATAAGCTCAAAACTGTACAAACACGCAATGAGGACAGATTAATCTTTGCCCAGTGGTGCGACCTTACTAAAAAAACATACTGTGCACCGAAGTTCGCACTATCTAGCAATTTGATTGGTTAAATATTTTAAAACAAAAGCTGTGCGAATCGGTGCGAACGTGCTACTAATCATACTGTGCACCGAAATACCCTAATCTAACTACATTGGTACCTTGTTGTTTTTTAGTCAGGATGCTTTGAGATTTGAATCAGATTGAATCAAGATCGAGATTGAATTAGAGATGGTGTTTAAGATTTTGCTTGTGTTTATGGCCAGGTTTGAATCATGCATGATTCAGACCTTGGATCTTCCTGCTCCTGCACGGTGTTCAGTTGTCAAATATAACTGAAGCATAATTCCCAAGCAAATACACTTAAAACACAAATGGGAAATTTGCCAATAAGCAAGAATGTTGTTGTTAAGGACGAGACGGATTCTTAGCATAATTTTAAAAGTTTGACTGTCGCATGTGCGAACGGTGCGAACGTCTAGATCCGCCCCTGGTGCCAAGATGGGAAATGTACAGCCATGTCACCAGCAGCAAAATCAATTTATAACTCTCCATCGTGATATGACGTAATAGGCCTGATTGTCAGTCAATGCATCAACAATGCACCTACAGCCTCCCTCGCAAAACTAACACCTCTTTTTTCTTGTAGTTTGCCTTTTTATCTATTGACATCTGGTTACAGGAACAACCTAAAACGATTGTAGACAGAGAGACATGCTGGTAATTTATAAATTTCCAATTGAATATTACATTTTTCAAGAAAATGGTTCAACTTAGTGATAAAATTTTATCTATCTTCTAAGCTGACTGAGCCGAGAGCTTTATATTGCAATCATATTGCATGCAAGCCTCTGATGACTTTTTTGCACATCGATACACGTCAAGACATTAAGCTTGTATTCTTCTATTTTTATCATACTCATCACTTCGATACTCTGAATACTAGGGCCTATAACATTTGGTAACGATAAACACGATAACGATAAATGTCTAACTTGGTCGAAATATCCACGTGACTAAGGCCTTTTCTCCTCACTTTTCTCTCTCTATAGCTCTACCATTAGGACCTATCACATGCCTCGAGTCCGATGTAAATATCAAATTCTTCAGAACTTGTAGATACTGACAAAGCCGACCCAAATCATGATGATTTATGCAAAGATTCCGAGAATTACAGTTCCATTTAGCGATTCTGCTGTGTTGCATCAAGAAGAAGGAAAAGGTTCTAACTCCACCGTTGCATTTTTAGGAAAAGTGGAAAATGTCGCTCTGGAATATTTGTGGGCTTTTCATTCAAACGAGCCTACCAAAAACATTCCTTTAAACGAAAATATGGTTTGCAGTAGTGGAGATGGCCCCAGTGAAGCGGCAGGCATACATCCTTTCCCCATATTTGTGACAGATGCATCATATTCGACAAATATTTAGACAAATTACAAAATACCAAGGAAAAATGAATATTTTACATTTTTGCTTCGTTTTCGTGAAAGTAGGGTAGCTCTTAAGGGACACAGAGAAGGCTCTCCGCAATATTGATACTAATCAAGAAGACAGAGATTTTACGTTGATGACCTAGGTTCAGGTACAAGGAACGTCGATGAAGCAAGATCTCGATAATTTGAATGCAATGGAAATAATGCAAGCAGGAGGGTGTAGACTAAGAAAATGGAAAAGTGACCCCACTCTAAACAGAGGGATTAGAGAAGAGACCAAATCAGAAGAAAAACAAACTATAGCAGAAGATTCAATGTATGCAAAAGAAGGCCTCAAGGGTACAAGTGCTAAAAGCAAGGTTTTAAGGGCAATTATGGACAATGTGACTGATAGATTCGAGATTGACTTTACCAGGATGTGTGACATGCTTAACAAATATCATCCTACAAAGAAAGGTATTTTGATTGTTTTAGCTTCTCTTTTGATTCTCGTGGAATCTTAAGCCTGTCTATGTGACTGCTAAGATTTTGTTTCAGGATCTGTGTAAGTTAAATCTAGATTGGGATGAGGCTATACCTGAATCATTAGCACATGGAAATTGTGGCTAGAGGACCTCGTAAGGGTGCAAAATCTCAGTTTACCAAGCTGTCTTTATGATGATAATGGAGTTAAAGTAGGATCTGTAGAAAATCATGCACTTGGTGCTGTAAGCAGCAAAGCATACTGCAGGGTTGTATATCTGGGATGTGAAACATCAGAAGGTGTCAAAGCAACATTGCATTGTACAAAAAGTAGAGTTGCT